TTCCTTCCTTTAAACTGTCAAACACCAAGCGGTCACCGGTGACCGCGACCTATTGTTCTTTAATTGTGTCTATAAAACCGGTACTCGACGAGTTAAGGGCCAATTTTTCACTCATCAGTTAATTCTTAATTGTAGAATAAAATTGAGAGTTAACAGTTTTTAGTATGGGAGAATTATCAAACATTGAAAATTATTCATCAGTTAAAATTTATCTGAGCATTGAAAAATTGACCCTAACTAAACACATTATTTCACTGAAAATCACTGATATGATGTATTTAACTCGTCGAGTACCTATCGGTTTTATAGACACAATTAAAGAACAATAGGTCGCGGTCACCGGTGACCGCTTGGTGTTTGACAGTTTAAGCTGAAAATATCTTGATGACGTTTTAAACAAAAAAAAAACTTCACAGACTTGACAAAAAGATTTGTGCAGTTATCACTTTTAAAAGTAGGCCATTTAAAAAGCTAAAATCAATTAGATAGGCTGTACGATGTTTTCAATACATTAGCATAACATAAAAATAAGCATCAGTGACACTGCTAAGTTTCAATACTGGAAACCTAGTAGAGTCAACTTAAAAACTAGTCCTAGTAATTAAAATGGACTTCTATAACAGATAAATCATCCCCATTCACTTTTAAAAACCACAATCATAAATAACAGAATATATAAAACATTATTTTTGTCATAAGGAAGGTATTTCACATGCATACAAATAGTTATTTATCTATACGTCGCACATTTTCGTAGAGTATGTATTAAACAAATATAAATACATTCTTATGTACACAGTATGTAGGTATGTACACAGGAGTATAATTGGTGCTTGTATAGTCAAATATTATGTTTTATGTACTGGCAGAGCACATCTTGACATTATGTAAATTATAGATATTATGACAGCCGTTAAAAATCTATTGGCAATTTAGGTGAATGTGAATGACCGACGAGCTGAAAGACATTGCTTATTTTTCTACTGTGAAGAGACTGAGAGATATTCACATTTTACATGATTATTCTATAAAAGTTGTCTAGTCGAATTACAGTGTTAAAAGCAGAGTTTTTGAGACTACACAGATCTTTTGGCTGTAAACTAATAAGAAATTACATTGGTTTCAGCTCCGTACCACGTGGTGAAGAACAAGCTGAAAGGCATGAAGACCCTGAAAGAGGAGACTCAAACCAAACCATCCACCATCTCAGAGACGGTCTGATCTGTAATATTTAAGCAATATTCTCAATTATACGTAGTCTTAAGATATTATCTTTTTATTTCATCTTCAACAATAATATATATCTTCAATATCTACTGAACAAAAGTCCTTTGCATGGAAGGAAACATAAAAATAAATATAATCCACGCTTGACAGGCGTTAAAATGAGGAAATCATAGTTTATATGGTAGGTTGATCTCTGACAAATGCGTAAGTGGTAAGACTTCACCCCTATAACACCAGGCACCGTAAGAGTAGGGCAAATAAATACATAGTGTGAATTGGGGTACCAAACTCGGTATTTGCTAAATTAAGGTCCTAGGTTTCTGTGGAGAACCTAACGGGTTATCGGGGCTCCGGGTCGAAATGCAGGAGTAGGAATGGAGTGGTTTTTAGTCAGTAAGAGTCTGACACTCCCTCCCATCTCACCCAGGCGGGCGAAGTCATTTGATGATTTCCCCCTTTAAAAAAAAGACTCCTAGGTTAGTAGGTAGTAATTTTAAAACAAAGAGAACGAATCTGGGAATTTGTTAATAAATGGGTTGACCATAATTGGGAAAAATATGGTCCCTCAGTTCTCACACCTGATCAGCCAGATCTCCAAAAATATACAATGTTTTGTAAATACATAAATTCTAGGATTTGTAGGTATCCTGCTGCTGGTGGTAAACTATAACTAGCCTAAGTCTAAAATTAAAATCTAAACTAGTTAGTTGAATACGAATTGTAATTCAAGTTGCAAAAAACCAGGCTTATCATATAATTATGAATTTTAATTGCCATTATTAATTATTTACCTTGGCACGTGTTGCTTTGAGATCGAACTGATGATACCGGTGTTAATAGCAGCGATATGTACTTGTATTATGTACTATACTGTGGTTTTTGTAAATTTCAACCATGTTACAAAGGTACAAAGAAGAAAATCTGTCAAAGAACTTGCACAGATAAGGGTAACTTGATGTGCGGTCGATATTAAAATAATTAATTATCGGTTTAATTAGGTACTCATCAAGTACCCTAATGATGTAAAGTACCTATAACAAAACTTTTTAAATTGTAAAGTCGTACGTAGTATGTTACAAGTCCCATGTATTTTCGAAAAATCAAAAATACTTTGCCAAACTCGAAAATGTTATTTTTTCTTCTCTCATAATATCTTTTTCTTCTTTGATTTATGTCGTTGCGGGGTCCAAGAAAGTTATTCTTGTCCCTGGGACGCGCCGGACTTCAGTGTTGCGGTGTTATTAATGGTTGTATCTTTGTAGATCATAACTTAAAGGAGTTGCAGCGGTTTACAGGAGGCTGTGGTCCGCATGTCCCATTTAAAAAAAAACAAACATGAAACTCTTATCAGAATTTGACCTTGCGATTGCTTGACCAAGGAGGCAGTTTAAATATAAATAAAATACCATATTTATTTATCGCCAGTTATTGTGTATTAATTAGAGGTAGAGGAATAAGAGCGAGTTGTAATATATTGTATCTCTTTGTTGAAACTTTGATTATAACTGTAATTTTTGTTAATCGCAACTGTAATAGCAATAATGTACAGTTATGTGTTTCGGCTCTTAGGGCCGAAACACATAAGACTGCCGATTTAAGCGGCGCGGCGCGGCGCCGCAACGCAGCGCTCGTTCCAGCATAGCAGAGTAATGTCTTCTTAATAACAAATAAGCTATAAGTTTTTCACTATGGTCCATGACAGAGACACGTCTATCCAAAATAAAAAATCACGACGAACTGATTACCCTACCGAACGACAACAAAACGCTCTTTTTCACGACGCCGCAACGCCGCAACTCAAACTGCCGATTTTACCATTGCGGCGATGCAACGCGGTTTTGTGTTTCGGCCCTAAAGGCTTTTTTGTTTTATTTATCAAGCCTACTTCAGCACGCCTTCTGACTCTGTGCTTTCACTGAGAATTTTGAATATCGAAAACCATATAGGTTCAAGAACAGTGACACTGACATCGACAACCCCTAACTTAGGCATTGCATCGCGTCTTTGGATTGAAGATGTAGTTTCATTTAAAAGTTATACAGTACAGATGGGTAGCCCAGTAGGGCTGATGCCCGCTGCGGAGCTTCGGAGCTGCTGGGTCTCGGGGGGTAAAATCATCCAATGACTATTCCCGCCCAGGTGAGGCTAGAGGGAGTGTCAGACTCTTACTGACTAAAAACCACCCCGTTCCTACTCCTGCATTTCAGGCCGGAACCCCGGCAACCCGTCAAGTCTTCCGCGGCTCCGTATCGGCATCAACCCTGTTGGGCCTCATCTGTGGTGGTCTATTGGCTCCTTGAGGCGCGCGCGGTACGCAACGCGCCGTACGCTCGGGCCTGGTTCTGGTCGGCCGGCGAGTCACCAGTGCTAGCCGTCCGTAGGCTCGTGCTTACGGTGGCCGGAGATCGTCTCGCGATCCCCGACACCCGGAGTGTCTCTCGCGACGGCCAGGGCGTGAGGACGTTCGTTACCTCACGCGCGTCGCCTCCTCCTTAACTAGCATGACTGCTTCGCAGAAGGAGGAAGGACGGCATCCCAATCCCCCCTCGTTCGGTCTAAACCAGAGCCGGACGCGAGAGGTCGCCGTCGCCGATCACATCCCTGAGGACATGGCGGTGCTCAGCCCACGCAGAGCACACCGCCACCGTATGCTCCACCGTGTCCTCCGGGCGATCCTCGCAGTGATGACATCCGGTCCTTTCCTCCCGCCCAATCCGAAACAGGAACCTACCGAAACTGGGTTTCGGAGACTAGGAGTAGGAATGAGGTGGTTTTTATTTTTAGTCAGTAAGAGCCTGACACTCCCTCTCGCCTCACCCAAAGTTATTTAAAACCATTGGATGATTATCACTCCTTAAAAAAGACAACGCATCATCTTCAGATTAAAGATGAAGTTTCAGGTAAGGGGCGAAAGTTAGGCGAAAAAGCATAAATAAATACATATAAAGAAAAGACAATTTGAAGCCTACCTACAAAAAGTATAAAAACTCAAAATATAGAACGTATTGGTAGTAAAAGATAAAAAGCAGTTATTGCTGGTAATTATCTTGAACAATATTCATACACGTAACAACAATAAATGCTTTAATGGCAATAGATTTGTCCTAAATTACTCGAAACCGAGTCTAATCACGTAACAATTATGTAACTAGATACTTAATAAATAAAAGAAAACATTAAAATATTGTACACAACTAAAATAATTATTAGTTACCTATATACAAACTTAATTCAGTTATTTGTGAAATTGTGTTAAGTAAAAATTTCTGTAAGGAAAGTAAAAGTTAAGCGCCTGATACAGGAGACATAGCTATATCGAGCTACAACTTGTTGCGCACCATATTAGAACAGGCGTATTGATTATATTCACCAGATTTGTTTCTGAGATTTCTAAGTGTTTTTTAACTATATCGAACACCGATTACTCAATATTTTAGAATTAGAATATTTAAATTAATTGACTTTATGATATAAACTTAGATTAAAAGACCACCATCATAAAAAAATTATTGTACAAAGATCATTATGTTCATACCTTCCGCTTAACATCAAACACGGTGATAAGCTGTGACATAAGACCCGTTTATAGGTCAATCGCGGTAACGTAACTTGAATGTAGGCAACACTCGCTGCGTCAGTGTGGCTAGCACCGTGATGTTGGCACGTCGTGTGCCCTCCCACAACAAATAAACATTCCAATTTCGAAAAAAACACGCGTAATATTTGACATTTAGTAAAATTAAGGACCAATCAGTGCATTTATATTAGGAACCATGTTTTTTTTACTAATATTAGCGTTAGTTGGGTCTATTACCCTTTGTTTTTTGCTAATAGATTCCCTATGGAGTGTGTTGGAGCTTATATCTTCGTATCTGATGCCTTATTTCCTGCCCAGTGAGGTGCAGCCACTATCCAAGAAGTTCGGACCATGGGCCGGTGAGTTGCGATTTTTTTTAATCAATATTCATAGCTTTCAATGTGGTTCACATTGAAATCCATTTAAATAAACAAGTAACAAGGTTTTATGCGGCTATTTATTTAGAAAAATGTTAATTACTTTCAGCGATTTTGAAATACACACACAATATTCTTATTTATTTAATTCGAAAGAAAATGTGTGTTAAATGGCGGTACCTATATTTAAATAGACGTAAACGATTAACAAAGTCATTATTTGTCAATACTAATCATTTTTCGCGTTTCCTATTAGCGACTAATAAGTATAGTTAATGAAAAAATTGTGCATTTAACACTTGATTTAACTTAAATCGTATTTAGCACTTTAACTTCTCTTTCAATGTAAGTACTACTTACCTAATTTGTCAAGACATCTTCAGAATTAAAAAAACAATGTTATTGATTAAAATTAATTAGTTTCTTCTTTAGTTGACATAAACATCACAACGAAATTACTACTATCTTATCATCACGAGCATAGCATTGATATGGGTATATTTTTATCCAAGATTCTAGTGAATCATAAAACATGTATTAGAATTAAGCGTGTAATTTCATAATTCAGTATTTTATTTAATCTTTCTGTTAAGATCCTTTTACATTTTTATAATCACTTGGAGCTCTTCTTGTTTCTTATAAGAAAAACGTTGATATTGGACCAAATATATGAGCTGTTAAAGCTTACCCATTAGTTACGTTCATCATCAGTCGAAAAATACAACTGCTGAACAAAAGCCTCTTCCTCACTGGTTAAAATCTAAAGCAACATATAAAGTGTCTTAATATTGGGCAAATACCACTTTTCCATCTCCCTGAAAGTTTTCCAAAATCCTATTTGGCATGCGAATATTCTGAGGATGCTGTTGCGTGCCGCTGGTCACCGCTGATCGTAGTTTTTTACGACACACTGGTGTTATTTTTTATTTATTTATGCACAACACTCAGACAGTAGACAGGAGAATACATATATAAATAAATTGGAGGTACACAGGTACTACATATTCCCGTAGGGATCTCTTCCTGCAGTCCTTCGACAAGAAAAATAGTAAAAACTAAGACTCTATCTGTAACATGGTATGAACAAAAAACAAATTAAAAAATTTGAGCCAATAAGTACTACATAGACAACATAAATATAACCGATAAATAATGTATTGAATAAATAGAAATGTTAAATAACTACTGGCATCAATGAAAAACAAATGCTAATCATTTTATTTTAATCACATAGTTACTTCAATCAACAATCAACATAGTTACCAGTTTATAAGTTAACCACGTTCGTACTAAAACATACAAAAAGGTTTGTTATAATTTGTAAAAACAAAACCTTGACTTTTTAATTATGCGTAAGTTAACTAATCGTAGGTAAACGAGTTCGGGGAGTAATAAAATTATAATAAATTAAAGAAAAACAAAAAATTTATCATGTTTTCCAAGTATATAGAGTACTTAGATATTTAATTAGATTGTATTTATAAGGAAGACACCGGTTCAAATAAATCGCGCCTTTTTTTAATATTAGTGATGCGAACGCGTTTATGTACAGACGTTACTTTAATTTTTAGATTTTTAATAAGTTCTTATTTTGCCCTTTTGTTTATTGTCTCTATTCAAGCTATTCGGCTACTTGCATGAAATGAGTTATTGTTAATTTGTTATTAAAAAAGTGCAAAACTGAATTTGTAACGAATTAATGGAATCAGTGAAGATGATTTGCTTTCAAAAGTATATTTCTGGTTTGTTTACTTTCACCTTTACCCTCTATCCTTGGCCTGACCACAATTTTTAACAACCAAATAACTGGTCTAAGAACAACCAACTGATAGGATCTAAGAACCTAAGGGCATCTTATAGTTCTTCAATTACCAATGGGACCCTTACACTGACAGACTGATAAGAAACAAAAATTCGCGCACGACAGAAATGAATTCAAGTTCTCTTTTTGGAGGAAGTGTCAGACTCTTATTGATTAAAACCTTCCTGTTCCAAATCCTGCTTGGAGAAGGTGCACCTGTAGCCCTTGCTTTTGTCCGCAACCCCCTTTGAATTCGGAGTCGCGGAGAACCTAACGGGTAACCGGGGCTCCGGCTCGAGGTGCAGGTGAAGGAACGGGGTGGTTTTTAGTCAGTAAGAGTCTGACACCGCCTCACCCAGGCGGGAGCAGTCATTCGATGATTTTCCCCACTTAAAAAAATCCCCTTTGAATACTCTGGAATGGGACACATGTACCAAACGGAATATGACCTTCGCCTGGCGCCTGCGCAAGTCTTTAGGCTGAAATGTTTACATAATAATATAATTTCAATCAACTATATGTAGACATACAAAGTGTTGTCGGCAAGTCTGGCCTTGGTTTAAACGTTTCGATGAGGATACATGGTCCGGTCAGCCGGCCACTGATTCCTGTTATTACTTATAGAAATTGTCTGTATGTCGGTTCAGTGGTTGCTTGTGTGAATGCTGTGTGCTAGGTCTCAGGTTTAAGTTGTTCGTGTTTAAACTATTATAACTTTTTCTTTTAAGTTCTCATGATGTTGCGGATTTTAATTTTTTTGATAATATTTACCGAATTGATTGCATTAATTGCAATTGCAATGGTGTAAACTATGATTATGTACAGTCTTCCTTTCACTTTGATTGTTTGCGTTGATTTAAATGTTAAAATCATTTTATTTCAATAAATTGAATTGTAAATGAACGAAATAGAAAGAAAGAAAAAAAGATAGAAATAAAAAAGACAGAAAGAAAAAAAGATAAACTTAAAAGAGTAAAGAATATTCAAATTCTAGTACCTAACACAATCTGTTTTTGACTGAAATAAGTTTTTTTTTAAATCTAGATTCTTATAGGTATCATTTTGGTTTCCGTTTAGTACCTGCTTTTATTTCAAACTAGCTTCTGCCCGCGACTTCGTACGCGTAATCCCATTTTTTCCCGTCCCCGTTCGTGATTTTCGGTAAAAAGTAAAAAAAAATTTTGGTCAAAAAGTATCCTATGTCGGTTTCCTGGCTCTAAGCTACCTCCCTGCCAATTTTCAGCCAAATCTATTCTGCCGTTCTTGAGTTATAAGTGGTGTAACTAACACGACTTTCTTTTATATATATAATATAAATATAATAATATAATATATAGATATAGATTTCCGCAGACATAGCAAAAAGTATGTTTTGAATTTCGCAGTATTAACGCACACGTTACACATGATACTTATTAGCATGCCCCAGATTTGTTATCAGTATTCGATTAAGACCTTTCCAAAATCTTGCACTTAGCAACAAATACGATTCATTAAAACGTGAGAGTAATAGATAATCATAAATGATTACTAACCTCATCCAAAGATGGCATCCATTGTAGAACTGTGCCCAAAAACTATTACGCCACTGGCCGCTAATGTTCAGTGTTGACATGTCATCGGTTTATGAGTAGTGTTGCCATGTGTTGAAAGGTTTGTCCGCCATAGAGATGCTATAGCGTTGTGCAATGATGTTGTACTGTATCTTTCTTTACCACATTTACGTGGTAAATAAATAGGTTAACGTAAAATTCGCAACGGTGTCGTGGTGGCCCAGAGGTTTAAGACGCCCGCTTCTCATGCATGAGGGTGCGGGTTCGAAACCTACCAACGGCAAGTACCAGTGTGACTTTTTTCGAGTTATATGTACTTTCTAAGATTATCTAGACACCACTGACAAACGGTGAAGGAAAAACATCGTGAGGAAACCTGGACTTATATTTCTAATTATAAGTTTGAAATCGTCAACCCGCATTGAGCAAGCGTGGTGATTAATGCTCAAACCTTCTCCGTGTAAGAAGAGGCTTTGCTCAGCAGTGGGCACTTATAGGCTGTTGATGATGATTATGAAAATTCGCAAATAGTCTGTAATTGTCTGGTTTGTACAAAAGTCTCGCTCGGTGATTTGTTTACTTTCTCTTGGTCTACTCCTAAGCCCAACTAACTGAGTTTTAAATTAAAATTACCTAAATGTGGTCTGTCCTTGTCTTGTGGACACAAGGTGATAATAAAACTATATTTGTAAAATTGGTTGTTAGATTTCTTCTACCTTACGAATCAACCAGTCAAACTTTTGCAACAACTTACATAACATAACATCACGTATTTTATCCCCGAAGGGGTAGGCAGAGGTGCACATAACGGCACTTAATGCCACTGTATAATATAACACCCACTTTTCACTTTTTATGTTATGAATCCCATGTAATAGGGGATGAGGCTAACGCAATTTACCGGGCACATTTCCAGACTCCGTGCTACTACTGAGATTTTAAAATAACCCAGTAATACTTTGCTCCACCTGGGAACAAATCCGTGACCCCTTGTCCCATAGTCGCACTTGCTACCACTCGGCCAAAGAGGCAACAACTAACACATGTACATTAGGCCTGAAATACTGTAATATACGCAACAAGTGGAGACGCATAGCGAATCGTAAGAGCTTCCTTACCCAAACAAATATAATACTATTGTCAACAAGGATCACCGACAACTGTCAGGTAAGCATGACCATGGAGAAGAAGTACGCCTAGACGGATAAAAGGATTGCCAGTAGCGATAATAATAGATATCAAGGTACTATACAACACCCCGCCGCCCGCCAGTATTGATCGGACTAAGCTAGATGTACCGCGACCGCGGCGATGCTCATGGCAACAAGATGGGTGTACTAACTAAAAATCGCGGGTTACGTGAATATACTGAGAAATGCTCTACTTACTACTTTTCTCTACTTACTACTTTTCTCTACTACGGTGTCTTTTTTTTATGGGACAAGCCCGCCACAGCCTCCCAAAACCGCTGCAACTCCTGTAATCCAGGATCTACAATAGATACAACCATGAAAACACCGGAACATTGAAGTCCGGCGCATCCCAGGGACATGAGTATCTGTCTTGGTTCCCGCAACGAAGTGAATCAGAAGATATTATAGGAGGAGAAACTACTACGGTGTCTACTT